CACAATTTTTTGCATATACATGCAAACAAAACGAAATAGAAAACATGTTGTCTATGGCCCGTAGTCATAGTCAAAATAAAGTCGACTTTAAAGTTAGTTGCAGCTTTTTTGACAGATATCCCATTGAAAATTATGTCAAAAAGCTGCAACTAACTTTAAAGTCGACTTTATTTTGACTATGACTACGGGCCATTGTGTGCGTGTCAGTCCACCGTCAATCCACGATTGAGAGAATACAAAGGTTGTGCCGATCTCGGACCGCTATTCCTCTCTTAACGAATTTGACAGAATCGTTGTTTGCATGACGTCACACTTGTGCAACTTGTTTACGTTTTCCTTGCAATATTTTTTCTTCTTCTTCCATTCTTGCTCACGTTTTGGCATTTCTCTCTCGCAATTGCACCAGTGTGACGTCACACAAAAGTTATTCTTAAAAATCCTCTCTGATCGGCGCAAACTTGTATTCTATCATTCTTGCCGTCAATCCGCGATTTTCGCGGACTGAAATGAGCGAGGTAAACTCGAACTCTCTTCCCCCTCTTATCCACACAAAACCGGTTTTAGGCGGACTGAGCAGTCCAGTGTGCGGAGGTCCAATAGCCCTGTTCGCGTACGCACTATCCAGTAAATCCAGTACTAATAATCTGGTTTTTTACTGGATGTCGTTTTCGTACGCAAAAACTTGCAAGAAACTAGCAAAAGAGGGGAAATTGAGAGAGCAAAAATGACAGCTGAACTTGCAAGTTTTACTGGATAAGTTTTTACTAGCAACTATTTGCTAGTAAGAAAAACAGCTTATGGCATGATGCTTAATGTTATTCACATTAAGAAAATAATTGTTTGCGGTGCCTTTAGAGTTGCAATTGACAAAATAAACCTATTTAAATTTATAATAAGATGGAAAATACTAGTTTTCTGTGAAAATTGCATCGGAAAATAACCAATTAATCAGCTGTTCATAAAACTAGCAACTTCTTGCTGGTTTTGCGTTTTCGAACTTTCTTGCATATTTCACTCATTGGGAGTAAATATTGGCTTACTCTCCGAAATTAACCCAAAAAATTTGCAAGAAAGCACTGAATCGAGAGCGTAACAACACGGGAGAGCTGCAAATTCTTGCTAGTAAAATTTTTACTAGCACAAATTAGCTACCAGAAGAAGAAGAATAAATCATGAATGAAAGACACAAGATCACGCCTTCCCGAAAGAAAGAAAAAAGTTATTTTCTAGCTTTAGAAATCTCGACGCCATCTTTGTTGTAAGAAGTAAACAACGAAGAAAACAAAAAAACCGCGTAATTGTTGAGCGCATGAATAATCATTTTTAACCGACTTCCAAAAAAGGAGGAGGTTATCAGTTCGTCGGAATATTTTATTTTTTTATTTTTTTTATGTATGTTACCGCATAACTTTGGACGACGTCAACCGATTTCGATAATTCTTTTTGCAGGTAGTGTCTCAGAGGTGGTCCCATACAAATCTGGTTGAGATCCGATCAGTGGATCATGAGATATATATATATATTTTTTTTTATATGGGAGTTGAAGTCGGTTTTTTTTTCAGGTTTTGAGTGTTGGATAATTTTTTGGTCTGCACGAACGCGATTTGGGCAAAAATCGTGATAATTCGTACAAATTCGTACAAATTTTTTGCTCGACGAACAAACCTACTAAGACAACTAGAAAATGTCAGCAGCATTCTGCACAAGTAAAGGAGTCGATTTTATGTGTGGGAGCGAGAAGACTGTTTTATTACAAAACCTTTCTATTCGTGCCTATTACGGTATCCGACGGATGCCATCCGCAAGGATCTAATCAGATTCGTGCTATCGGAATAAACGAGTGCGAAGGATTAGATTCGTGCGAATGGTATCTGTCGGATCGGAATACGACTAGTTCCGAGGGATACCATTCTCATGAATCTAATCCTTCTCATTCGCTTGTTATGACAGTGACTATCATTTGACAAATCATTTGAGTGGCAAGACTGATAGAGATTTCTGTCACTGGCTACCTACAAGTTTCTATCAATTCCAAAGGGCAGTGTGAAAAATCTGATGTAAACATTTGTGTACAAATTCTTCCGTCTTTCTCCAACTTATGGCCTTATTTTATGGTCTCTTTTTAACCAACGCAAAATTTGCATATGTGTTAGTAAGATAAATGAGAATGTGTTAGTTTCCATCACACAATTCTTGTATGG